ACCCTAAGTCCTAAACCCGAAGCCCATAAAGTGACCAAGGTTTTCGGCTTCTTTGGTGGCCTGGGAATCCCAGCAGCTTTCATAGCGCTAGCAGAAGCTCCAGCCTTAGAAAGGGCAAGAGCTGTGGGAATGAGGGATTTTAAGGGTTAAGGGTTTTAGGGGTTAGGGTTTGGGAAATTAGGGCCTTCAAGGTTTTGGTTTTAGAGGCTTCAGGTAGGGATTAGGAGTTTTGGGAGGTTAGGGGCTAGGGTGCAAGGATTCTTGTACTCCTATGAAATCCCGTAAGTACTAGTACTCGCATGGGGTTGGGATTCCTGCTAAACCTTAAACCTACCCTAGTCTGTCTATCCGCAAAGCTTTGTTACCTACAAGTACGCGCCTGGATGATAGGAACGGTGGATGAGACCCTAATCTACTATCAAATGCCTCGCTAAATTTGGGTTTAGGCTTTAGGGTCTTTAGAAGGCGGCCCTGTGCAATTGAAAGGCGAGCAAGTTTGAAAACCACGTATGCATGCGAGTTCTCCTTGCGACGTCGGAGCAATCTTGGCCAACTTGCACCTGTATATGCTTCCGCCAAAACATGTCCAAACCGTCAGGACCCCAAAGCGCCCTAAGCTGATATGTACTATAGTCTAAATTCCTTACAGGGGGCTTATATAGAGAATAATATAGTGGGAACATTATAGGGCTTATTAAGGGGATACTAGGAGTTTAGACTATAGCTGATAAGTACCCAAACTCTCCATCCGAAGCTGCGCAGCACCTGGCTTTATGTTTTGAATCACTACTTGCAGACCCAATTGCCTACAGATTTGTAGTAAGTGCACAGGTACGACCTATAAAACTTCAGGTCAGCCCGAAACCCTATTTGAGCTATAGTGTAACGTCTCAGAAGGGATTATGTAGGGGAGTATTACAGGGGTTATTGAGGGGGCTACTAGGACCACTAGGAGTTTAGACTATAGCTCATATAACCCTGCACCTTCATAGGAATCAGCTAAACCGTACTTGGCAGGAATTTTGATAAGCCCAAGACCATGAAATCATTTCCAGGTGTGCCCCACGCGCTTGCGGGGCATCGTCAATGCCGCGATGGCCGTTTCGTTCTGCTGTGCCTCTGCCTTGTATGGCTTCCGTCGCTGAACCCCAAGGATTTAGGGGCTGAGGATTTAGGGAAGCCCCTACACTCTAAGCCACAAATCCTCAAGACAAATCTAAGCCCCTAAGCCCTGAACCCGCAACCCTATTCTTTTTAAACTTCTGCAGTGCTTGCAGGTTTCCCAGAGGGATTCTCATGCAATCGATCATCACCTTAGAGCCCTTGTATACTGGGGCCTCTTTTTGAGAAACCCCCATTTAGAGGTAGTCATCAGCCTCTTTTCGGGAACCCTATACCCTAAACCCCGCTTAGAGGCAGGCAAGGGTTGAGCAATGATGCTGGTGCGAAGCCACCTCCCTCATGATTGATCGGAGGGCCAGATTTCGAAAAATACATGCAAACTCTTGTTGAACTGGCCCTTTCCGTAGTGGTAGTTAGTAGGGAATATGGGAGTTTTTCTATAGGGATTATGTAGAGAATATACACCCTTTTCCCCACTAAGCACCCGTAAGTTTTGTCGGGGTGCAGGGGCGGCATCTTGTGCGGATGGTCAAGCATCGTGATAAGCGTGAGGCAACTCATCTTACTGGTGGATAGTAGGCCATATGGGAATATAGTCACTATGTAGTCCCTATAACTTCTAAATATTCCCATATAGTATATTCCCTTATTCCCTACTAAGCCCCAGTCATAGGCAGTGTTGCAGGCTGGTGGGGTTTCCTGACATTGTCCTGGGAATAAGCAATAAGAATGAAATTCCTGTAGGGCCCCTACATCTGTCCCACTGTCCTCTTTGAAGGGTTCACCAGTGGCCAGCCTCCCTTTTTGCAAAAAGATATCATCATCAGCGAATTTCCCCCCAAAATTCCAATGTCCAAAGGGTTTGTCCCGATGAGGACGTATCTACCCAGCGGTAGGAACCGTACTGGTAGCAGTACTGCTCTCTGCAGTGCTACACCCCTAAACCCTAAACCCCAAGCATTATTAGTTACTCAGTCACCAGTGCCTGGCCCTCCCCTATACAATCCAGTGAGTCGCTCTTGTTGTGCTCCTTGCGGGGAACTGTACACCACACCCTGCACCCCAAATCAAATACCTTAAGCCCGAAACCCCGAACCTCCCGCCCTAAACCCTCGAACACCAAATCCTGAACCCTGAAAGCCCTGGACTCGGAACCCCAACTCCCGAACCCTTCAGGCTCCAAATTCTACATCCGATTGCGTTCCAAAGAAATAAGTCCAAATCGCCACAGGCCTGAAACTTAAAGCCCGCGCGCCCAAGACCCCGGAATCCTGGAAAACCAAATGGATCCCAATGCTAACTATATGACGCCTTGCAATATGACCAAAGTCAGTCACGCCTTCCTTTAAGTAATAGTAAGACGCGGGATGAAACACTGAATCCTTAGAGTTTTCTATGTTCTTTTTCAGTCGAATTTCCATCATTGCACGCCTGAACAAACACCCTTATATCCCTATATCACCCTTACCCCTCTATACCCCCATATATTCCCTAAACCTTAATCTCTGCTAGACAATCCTAGACAGCCCCTACAGTAACTCTACAAGGTTCCTGAAAATATTTGTTAATTTCTGTTACCAACAATCCTAATATTTAGCTGAAATTATAATTTCTACTGGGGTTCCAAATCCCTTAGAGAACTGGAGGTGGAGAAGTTTGGTCGGCCCTTGGCTTTCGGCTGCTCCTACCGGACCTGCAGGGTGGAAGGGGGCGCTGGGAGGGGCTGATGCTGGGTAGGCCCCTGGGATATTTAAGATTTTCCCTAAAGGCTTTAATGGAGGACCCTATATGTTAATGTTTTTCAAAGGGTTTTAGGGGCCAACCCAGGATGTAAGATCCATTTCTTTAGGGTTTAGGATTTAGGGGTTTAGGGTTTAGGGGTTACATAGGGGTATAGTTATTGGTTTAAGTTCAGGGTTTAGGGTTTCGGGGTACATAGAATGTATAAGCTGACAGTTGAAGCCAGCAATTTGGAGCATGAACCTCCCCCAAGGCTTAAGAGCTAGGAAGGGCAAAGCTGCACGAATCATCCTCTGTACATGGGTGGTTGTCAAAACCATGGTCCCTTTTTGGGGTCCCTAGAAAAAAAATACGGCACCCAATATTTAGGGTAGAACAGTAATTTAGGGAAACTACCAAATAGCTTTCAATATGATGAGCCTGGGGTCCTTGCACAGTTCTGGTATATAGGGTAACTCAAGCAGACCTCAAACTGATAGTGGTAGTTTTCCAGGTTTCTACCGTACTTGAAAGGTCAGGTCAGCTTTGTAAGTAGGCTACTAGTACATAATGGGGATAGGTGGAGCCATTGCATGACATAAAGTACAAGTACTGCTTAGGGTCTAGAGCTCCCACGGCTCACAGGGCCCAGGGTCCAGATTTCGTGGCCGGCGTTGAAGCAAGGCTTAGACTTTCGCGTTTAGGGCGTAGGGGCTTATTTAAGGGGCACGTTGCTTGGGGTTGAGATATGAGAGGGGTCAGAGTTACATGCCGGCTTAGAGTTTGGAATCGGGGCTTCCTTCCCACACCCCGAGAACCCCTAATCAGAGAAGATTGATGGCTACGGTCCCTGCACAACGACTGGCTATGATGTGTCATGTAGCCGTGAAGTATCGCAAGATGATTGGTACATCCGTTCTCGTTGCGCGGGAAATTTGGAAAGTCGCCAGATTTTCCTGGTGGTGCTAGATTTGTTCTAAGACTTGCCAGAAGTCTTGAAGCAAAAGCTCCTAACTGCTAAGCCCGATTCTTTCGGAAGACCTTTCTGACGCTCGTCAAACCCTATAGAAATCATGGGACCTACTCAAAATAGGGGTCTCGTATGTGTAGGGTAGAAGAAGGTGATAGGGTTCCTAGTTAACGACTATGTGGGGACTGTTATTGGGATTTCCCATGCGTCACTAGAGTTCCGCCTGTTTCCAAACCTTCCCACGTACACTCCCGAGTATAGCTCAATACACCCTATTTATAACCCTAATATATACCCTGTTATATTATAGTAGTTTCCATTTCATTTTCCACTTCACTTTCCATTATCCCTACACAGACCCCTATGTAACCCTAATAAGACCCCCTTTCTTCTTCATGCAGTTGGGAGCCCTGGAGGATCTAATTGGATCTGGTTGGAGGTCGATGTTGTTGTGGCCCCTCAATTAGACAATCCAGGGACTCTGTTACACTAATGGCAGCATTGTGCCGGTTAGTGGCTTGTGCGCACTCGAGGGAGGAGGTCAGCAGAATAGCTAGCTACTGTGGATATTAGAAATCCTGCGTGACTTTGTTGTACTATAGTACCATGATTCCCAAGGTGCAAGGCGCTTAGGTTCATGCAGGATTTTTAGATCCACCGTAGTAAGCAAGTCATACCACAGATCGTAGCAGCTTACTCCCATAATTTCATTTTTTGTCATGTCTCTGCCTTTCCATAGGGTTGTCACGCCCGTATCAGTAGGTATGGAACCAAGCAACCAGGCGGGTTGGCCGAGAGGGAATCATGTCGTAGCCTCATTGTTTCGGGTTCAGCCCCAAACCCAAAACTGCGTGAGAACTATGGTTCAAGGCTACAGTGTTGATGTCGGAGCCGGCAGTGGGCCACTTCTTTGCGGGTTTCACAGAATCTTTCATGGGCTTCCGAAACAAAAAAGTGTTTTTGGGACCGCTCCTGGTTGGCTTTTGATATGCAATCCGAATATGCAATCGGGAATCTTATAGGGTTTCTTGTTGAGAGTGTTTGGCTGCCCTATGAAACCGAGGGCTCAAAAGGCATTCTTGAGAGTTGCAGGCGGCAACTAAGGATTCTGTGGGGGTTACACTGAAAAATCGTATTCTCTACACTGCCTGGCCACTGCTTGCTAGCCATTAGGGTGCTGCGCAAGCATCAGCAATCCAAAAGCACTTCCGCTTTTTCAGATACCTAACTAAGTGCTCCTCGGTTTTTCCAGGGGCTCCATAAAGTGCCAACCTGCTCTACACCAGAAGTCAGCGCACATCGACCAGCAGCGTTTTCCGCGTGCTCATCCGTTAAATTTTTCAGACCTCCCCTGACGGAGAATAGCGTTGAAAGAGTTCATCGTCACCTTAGAATCCTGGACTAGAAATTCTTCGGGCTCTATGTCCAGAAAACCCGGACTGGCAACGTAGTAAGCTTTCGTGAAAGTGCCTCGAAAGCTCCGCGTACTTAGAGGTTGCAATCTATAATCTATGGGCAAGAAAGAGCTCGCAGCAGATATCTGTGTACTGAAGTTATTGTTGTAGTTTGCCGAATAGAGCCTTGCCACGTGCATGTCTCTAGGCTTAAAGGTTTTGGCTTTGGTGTGCATTTGTGGCTGCTTTGGATTCAAGTAGGTTAGGAAAGGTTTTGCGAAGTCAGCGGCTTTCCGATTCAAAATGTAGAGCCTTGGGGCTGCTGCAGGAGCCAGCTATTAGAAAAAAATCGCGGGGTTCCGCGAAAGTTTCGTGGAACTAAATTTGTTCCTCGAAGATGGTCATTTTGTGATGAAGAAATTTAGATCAGCGCCGATATTTTCCCTTTATTATACCGCCCTTATTTCTATCCCAAAAGTGCAGCAAAGCAAAGGGGAGTGATGCCGCCTAATTTGCTGGTTAGGTTACTGATTTCTCCCTGTAGAATCGTAGTGCAACGTACCCCCCCAAACCCGTCATGATAATTTGGGGCTCTATTAAAGGGATCATTTTTGTGTCTTGAATGCATTCGTCTTACTGAGATGTCGAGAAGCACCTCATGTCGTAAGTTTAATACAGGAACGCGGGTTTAGGGCTTAAGGGCGTTGTGAAATGGTTCAGCTCTACTTTCCTCCAGCCGAGAAAAACCCTAAACCCTAAACCCCAAACCTTAGCCTCCCTAAATACAAGAGGGGCTCTTAAACTTAGCGGTGCCATTTTGGGGGTCCGAATAGTAAGGATTATCGCTTTTTGGGGCCTATATTGGGGTCTCCCTCTTTGTGGAAACTCTGAAATTCATCCGCTCATGAACAACACTCCCTGCAACCTAGGTTCGGATAAATTCCCCTCAGCACTCTAAACCCTAAACTTATAAACTAAGTAGACCTTGCGTTGGGCAAGTAGGAGGGGCGAAACAAAGCTAAGGATTGGTTTGCCGCCGCCACTCGCCATGATTCAGGGTTATTTAGGGATTATATAGGTAGGGGTTATTTGAAACTACTATAGTATAGGGTTACTTAGAGATTGCAGCGTGGGAAGATGGGGAAGTTTTGTGAATTCCAGCAGTGTAGGCGTGGTCTAGCCTGTTTAAAGATCAGTGCGCAAAGTGCCGAAGAACTGGCATATAATGGGTTGTATCAGGTCAAAGTTTCAGCTTGTTAATTGAAGAGTTTACGGGTCAAAAAGTGGAGTTTGTCCAGTTTCGGATTCGATTTAGGCAGTTCAGTATTGAGGGATTAAAGGGCTTCGGTTTTATGGTGTTTAGGGTTTTGGATTGAAGGCTTAGGGAAATGTTCGAGTGTGGAGCATGCATATAGCTCAAAAGGTTGGGGGTCGAGGTTTGGGAGTTCAAAGGTTTAGGGTTTAGGGATCCAAACCCTAAGACGTAAAGCTGTGCTCCAAGGTCTTTTCGAGAGATCATCATGTTTCCTGCGAGTGTAAGACATGTGTATCCCAGGGTATCGATTTTGCCACAGCTATCCCGTACCTCTGTTCCGAGGACGGTGAGCCCTTGAAGCTGCAAGCCGTGAACCTTGTAATTTCTAACCCAGGGTTTAGGTTTTAGGGTTTAGGGAGTAGATGGAGGTTCAGGGCGGCTTAGCAAGTACACTTAGCATTTGAGTAAGCCATGCAATGATGACCCCGCTGATCTCCGTTGTCAGCTGACTTGCTACATGCCAGGCCCCCGAAGTCAGCCAAATAGAGCAGGGTTTAGGGTTTAGGGTAAGAAACTGCCACAATACCTTGTATCACACCTCAATCCCCAAGGCTCAGACCCCAGGTCGCTCTTTAGACTCATACAGGCCAAACAAACGCTTCCACCTCCCTGCGCTAGGCCCTTATTTTATAATGGTACCCTATTGGGTGTAGTAGTTACAAAGGGAGGGGGGGGCATTATTTGCGGAAGTTTGTGCTCCCTAAACTTAGGCCCTAAACCAGGTTGGTGCTCTTATGTCTTGGTTGCCTCAGCCCTGCCACGCGCTTTGCACCTCGGACCTGGCTGCTTATGCAGGGTGGACTTACGAATTATACTACCACGGATCTAAAAAAGCCTTGTCTAGGGCTTCTAGGGTGTAAAAAGGGATGTACAGGAGTTTTTGTAATAGGGGTTAGATTCCCGAACATCAACATTGAACCAGAAGGCCTGTTGTGGAGCGGGACGGTAGTCTTTTTCGGGCCCGTTTTCGGAGTTCCGTATTAGTTTTTGAGGAGGGTATGTGGTTTGGTAGGTGTGATATAGCAGTAGTATTCTAAGATCAAGAAGGCTTCGGAAAACTATGGATCCCTGACCTGCGGGGCGAAAGAGACTGAAACATGTTGATATTGGGGTATTATTGTAGGCATCACGCGGGGATTGGTGGAACAGGTGTGGTTTTTCAGGCTCTACCGAGAAATCGCCCTAGCAACCTCCACTCATCAACTGGGAGCTCTCAAACAGCATGAATGGCCAATTGGTTTTCAGAGGCAGGTTTAGGGTTTTAGGATTAGGGTCTACGGTTTAGGGCTTGATGATGTGTGTCAAGAGAAGATACGGGCTTTAGATTGATGAGATCTCTCCAAATCGAGGGCGACCCATATCATGGGGGGAACAACCGCAGGCCTGTCTCCATTGGAAGTTACCCTGCCCTTAACATTGGACATAGAGGTCCCTCTTGTAGTTTAGCTTACTTCATAGTATAGTCCCCAATGAGGAACCCATGTCCTGTGACACATGTAGGAAATGTTGACCGTAGCTCATATATGAACTCATAGGATATACCGCAAGGGCTCCACGAAGCACATCGCAAGGCATTTGGATATTCCTCACAAAAGCAAGGATCGAGTAACTGCTAACCCTGTGGCAAGTGCTCATTGTAGCCAAAGATGAACACAGTCACACTAGGAGCTTTCGCAAGAAAGGACGAGACTGAAGAGCCGGGGTTTGGCTAGCTGGTGTGCATGCTTGCTAGGATTCTGCACACCTAATCGTGAAAAATCAGTTCCGGCACCCGGCAGGGTTTTGAAGGCCAGACCTACAACAACTAATGCAAGCGCAACCTAAAGTCTATAATCTAAACCTTAACATAAAGAAAAAGCCTGAGACCCAAAGCCTTATTCTCAACCTCAAGCCAAAAATCAAAACTTTGAAATCTAGACCTGACATAAGGATGGGGCTCCTCTGCGGGGTTCCTACTTTTGGATCCTTTGAGGGGTCTGCGTAGCATCCATCATCCCTAACCCCCCAAACACCGAATTTCCGTGCCAACTTGTTGCCTGCAGGCTTAGCCCGTTAGTGTTCGAGGTTTAGGACTAGGGTTTAGGGTTTAGGGTTCAGGATTAGAACCAACACCGCATGGCCTGAACTTTGAACTGTACATGCCCAATCCCTGCACATTTTGCGGATCCTAAAACCTCTTTCAGATGGTGCAGGGAGATTAGTTGAGGCACGAGTTCCTGGGCTCGGAGGATCATCAGACCCCATGGAGCCCGCTACAATCCCCATATGAGCTATAGTCTAAACTCCTTAATGGGGGGTTTTTTTGGGGATTATATAGGGAACTGCTATAGGGGTTATTAAGTGCCGCATCATAGACTTGTAGGCCGTCTACATTCACCAAAGCAATTGCCTATTGCCAACCCGAAGCCTAAAATCAGCATCTAATGAATCTTCCCCGAATCGCCATGCAACCTGTCGGTAGAGCTTGCCCTAGAAAACCCTTAGCCCTGAACCCTGTAACCCCCGAATCCTCTTCCAAAGCCCATGTGTCCAGGACACACCGCATTTCCTGAGTGCCCGAGGGCGGCGGCAAGAGCTGGCGCAGGTTGTCTGGGTCCGTGAAACCATGTTAGGTAATATATGGGTTGTCGTCAAAATTATGATCCCTTTTTGGGTACCCTAAATATTATGTGCCGTATTATAATAGAGATCCAAAAAGGGCCCATAATTTTGACAACCACCCATATGGGATCAAGGGTTCAAGGTCAAGGGTTTGCACTTCAGGGTTTAGAGTTCTTGGTTTAGGGCTTGGAGTTTTGGGCTGGTGTACCAACCTGGAATCCTTACTGGGAAACACAGAGAACACATTGGGTCTATATCAGGTGCTACCAGGAGCAGAAAGACACAACCAACCAGATCCAGGTATGAGTTTCAATATGGGTGTTTCCACAAGCCGGGGGCTTTAGGAGTTCAATAAGAAGGGTTCTACTTGGTTGTGCTTTTGCGCATATAACAGGACCCCTATGTTTGGAAACTCCCACATTGTCTTTGCTCCACAGGACCTGGGGTGGGTGGAGGTACAGCACGCCTTCTGGGGTACTTTTCCCCTGAAAACAGCATAAAGCGTGTTGACTCAAATGCGATACAGCAGGGCGATGATATGGAAACTGATTGTATGTCGTGGCTTATAGGGCTTAGTCTAGGGGAGCCTGACGATTAATACAAACATCATGTTGAGGTCTATTTGAAGTACCCTCTTCCGCAAGTATACAAGGCATCTACGAGCACAATATTTTTCCGATTCTCATTCTAGGTTTCTACATTGCTAGGTCTCATTTTGTAAGTACGGTCCCCTGCATGATTTTTTCCTCTGTGGGCACGACAATTTAGGCAGCCTTCCTTATGGCTCACCTTAAATCATACAGCATATTCTGCTGGCACAGAGATCGTATTCGTGGTGTTACAACCCTCATATACTTGAGGAATGCTAAAACCCGAGCCCGAAGCCCTGAACCCTAAACCGAAGGCCCCCTCTTTCCCATGTCCGCCCACAAGCTCATGTTCACTAAGCCCTCAACGCTCATCCCTGAATCAAAATTCTTAACTTTGGCTAGTGGAAGGTTCCCAACAGACTCAGCACGATGATGCTTGCGTAGGTTTATGGTTTAGGGATCAGGGTTTAGGGCTTAGGATTGGATGCAAGTCAGTTGCTTGCTTGAACAAAGCAGAGCCTTAGGGAGTACAGTACTATCCTGCCCAAGAGTACCGCCATAGATATAGAGTCCTATTATGCCCGGCTATGCCTTATATAGCCCTTATTTGCTCCTCAAGCCTGGAGTTTACCTTTTGGGGGAACAGTAGTGTAGCCCCTTAAAGCCCCCACCTCATCAAGCCCTTAAACCCTCATGCGAGGTGATGCAGCTCATGGCCACGATGAACAACCGGGAGGTGGCTTAATGTTAGACTTCAGGGTTTTGGTCTTAGGGTTTAGGGGTTTAGGGTTATGGAGTTTAGGGCTTAAGGTTTAGGGGTTTAGGGTTTTTGGTCTTAGGATTTAGGGGTTTAGGGTTTAGGGGGTTCAGTGTGCAGGTTTTCGGATTTGGAGGTAGCGTTCATGTGGTCGTCCAGGGTAATTATAACCCAAGGATAACTGATATTTACAATCCAACTACAACGTTTTGAGGAGACTTTAGGAGGCTTACAAATGAGTTGTAAGCATCCAATTTCGCTATAGTTGCCTCGAACCTCCAAGGAGGGATCCAGGCTCCTAGGGAGATCCCCTGTTTGGGGTCAGCCGAACAAGTACTATAGTTTTTGGGTCTATATTGGGGCCCCCCGTTTTCTGGAAACTACGATGAGGAGTTTATTCAGATTCCTCATAGAAACGACAAGTGCGAAAATTGACAAACTCCTTCAGGGTAAGGACGTTCTGCCCTAGAGCCTAGACCTTGGGTACTGCCCCCACTCTGTAACGACTGGATAACATGTATAATATGGTGCTATATAGCCCTTCATATGACAGTAACAGGGTGGGGGCAGTAGCCCAGCTAGACCTTGTGCCCTAAACTTCAAACCTTGAACCCTAAAATGTAAATCATGTTTTTGATCACGTTTTGCCTGCTGAATGTTTGTTATGTGTGTAAAGGTTCAGGATGCTAGGCATTGCAGGAAATAGTTGAATACACATCGCTTAGGGTTTTGAGCGTAGGGTTGGGGTTCAGGATTTCTGCTAAAAACCTTGCATTTGATGACAAAGTTTGTGTTCAGGACCCATGGCCAGTAAATCTCAGATACCTTCCCCCCCAAACATGGAACCCCAAAATGGGTCCAATGAAGAGTACAGCCTGTTCAAGGTGAGCCTTTTGGGGTTGCGTGTTACGCCGGGGAATACATGCCCGACACAATCTTTACATCCCTTGGTACCCTGTACAACACCTATAGAATGAGTTCTGAGCTGAACATCCTTTCATTTGCCTCCGGGTAGCAAGGAATGAAGGAGTTGGATCCTTATAGTAGCCCCTGTAGAACCTCGGTTATATAGTAGATTTCAGGGTCTTTTCCATTCCCCTGTATACTTATATCATCCCTATATAACCTTAGTTTTATTTGATTTCTATGCTACTTTCCATTTCATCTCCATTATGGCAGTTCCCGTTTTCTTTCCATTAACTAGAGGTAGGTTCCGGACTCTACTTTTCACACATTCCTCAAGGCATTTTTTTGTGTCAATGCCGGGGTCAGTGGTTCAGTCCCTTTGCAGGAATCAAAGGTCTTAGCCCTCAATCCTCTATAGTTCTCATTGCCCAACGAAGCAAAGCCAGAACCCCCTCTCCCCTCCTCGAACCCTACCCTGTGGTAGTGTTTAGCGGCTGGGCTTACATGAACGTCAGCCTGGGCATCTTCCCAACCAGCGATTGGGTCGCCATGAGGATGTGTCTTCGAATACATCATGTCCTTGCTGAGTGCGGAAGCTCAGGGCTTCCTCATCTCTTCCGCACGATTTTATGCGCCGCCTACCACAGGAGGCAGAGGCGCAGACTACTGTACGAAGCACGTCCTCTGGACGTGCACTTTTTTGATTCGTTTGTGCAGCCTTGCTGGTTTTGATGCGCAGGACAAGACCAGGACCTGCGACATACCACATCCGACGTGAGTTTGATGCTGTGGCTCAGTCCACGAAGGTGCCAGCGCCAAAGAAGTCGGATGGCAAGCGTCGAGAGCCTGGACCTCAAAGAGGAGACTGCTTGGCGTGGCTGTCAGCAATGTGCTACCAGGGGTAACGTGTTAACATGACAGAAAGGCTGTCAAAGTATGTATGTATGTATGTATGTATGTATCTATGTATGTATGTATGTATGTATGTATGTATGTATGTATGTATATATATATATATGTATGTATGGTTACCCGCCCCATGATCTACCTCTAGGTCTTTCTTGTGTATAAAATTGCTGGAAACATTGTGAATACCGATGAATTTCCTGTTTGGAAGATTAGAGTGTTCACCCTTAAAACTGCTGTGGGTTTTTTTTGGTTCATAAGGAATGGAAGAGCAGCGGAATAGTTCGGCATATAGGAATCCAGGATTTAGATATTAGTTATATTTAACCCGATGACGCTTCAGGGTGTAGGGACCCTGAATAACACACCCGCGGCCCTGGTAAGCCCTAACCAGAACCTGAACCCTGACAAGAAACCCCAAACCCTAAATTCTAAGCCTCGCCTGAAACCAGCGTCCGTAATGTAGGAGCTTATTTAGTTCCCAACATGATAGTCCATAGACATCGGAAGTACCTTGGTCAATATGGCGGAGAACCCTTGTGACTCCCCACATGAGCCCAGTTTCCAGTAGATTTTCCATGTCATTCTCCGTTCTATGCAGGCCCCCAAGCCCTAAGGCCTCATCCCTCATCTCTTGTCTCCGAACCGTAAATCCTTAACCCTTAAGACTTCACCGTAAACATTGGGGAGGCCCTAGACCTTAACCCTGGATCACTATTATTACTATACTGGGTTGCTATCAAGTATCTTAATTTCAGTTACTATTTTGGGGGAAGCATATTAATTGTCATATATACCCATTATGGTTATTCAATTTAAGTAGTTCCTTAACCGCAACCCAGTTAACCCCGGATCATTATTACTAGTGTATGACCCCTGTAGTAGGTCTCAGTCGAAGAGCTGGCTCCAGCCGCGTCCGAACCGGGTGAGGCTGCTACTGCGGGTTGAGGTTTGGGATGTAGGCTTTAGGGTTGAGAGTTGAGGGTCTAGGGTGTACGGCTACTGTCACCTGTAGTCTCCTCAGGAATGATTTTTCATGTTTAATATATAGGACAGGTATATTTTTCAGTATAGGTCTAGGGGGATTACAGTCAATATTACGTTTACCAAGGAGCCATTGAGGGAAGGACGTTGCTGAATGAAATGTACAGGGATAAGAACATGGGCAATCCAGTGTATCATGGGTTAGGCCATGGTTTATAGAGATTAAAGTTTGGGTTTAGGGTTTACCCTCAACCCCAAGTTATATACCTACTGCCTTTTGGGTGCTAACTACTTATCAGGTGCATCACTGCTACTATAGTGTAGTAGTTCGGGTTACAGGTAGAGCTTAGGTTTTAAGATGTGGAGTGTTTGGGGCTTGGGATGTGGGCGTTTCGGCTTTGTGTTTTTGATGGATTTCTGAGTCAAGGTCTCAAGGTTTGGTTGAGGTGTTGAAGTCTAAGGTTTGGGGTTTAGGGTTTAGCGGTTGAACCACTTGGGCTTATGGCGTAGAACCTTGTCAGCAGATGGACGATCAGGTTTTTGACTTGAGGATTTGAGGATTCGGGTTTTGGGTGCAGTAGCAGCATCCCATTGAAGTTGGGTAATTATTTCCCAAGTGCAGAAGGGTTTGCATACCACTGCGGTACGTAAGGTGCCAGGTCTTTTGGAGGTTGGCATGATTGCTACCCACCTGTAGATGCCCCAGGCCCCCAAACCCTAAACTCTCAACATAGCCTTGGGGATCCAAGGACCTGGGTATGATAGTGCGATGGTGAGCAAAACCATTTTGTTTTGAGTCCTTGGACCTTAGGACCCTTGCGGCAGGGATTCAGGAGTTTCGGCTTTCGCGTCTGGGGAGTAGTAGCGGTTTGCCGTTGGAGTTATAGACTCTAGGCTTCGGGCTTTGGGTGGATGACTTGAGGGTTTAAGGGCTTCTGATTTGAGGTTGGTTGGTTGTGTGTTTGAGGTTTGGCTTTAAGGTTTTTTGGGGGCTATGTTCAGGGGTCTTTTGCAGATATTGGGTTTCAGCCTTGTAGTTTTGCGGTGAATGAATTGAGGGTTTACTGTTCCCAGGTTGGGTTTTAGGGGTTGGTCTCCTAGTATCCCCTTAATATCCCCTATAGTAGTCCCCTGCGTAGTCCTCTATATAACCCCCCTTTAAGGAGTCTAGATTATAACCCCTTATATAATCCCCCTCTCAGGAGTTTAGAGTCTAGCTCATAGGATACTGGCTTTCGGTTTAGCTCTGCTTCAGAAGGACGTCCTTGATCGGGCTTGAGAAGTAGGAACTTGCTACGTGCACATTGCAACTGTCTGCGCTGTCGGCAAAAACGGTCCGCGAAGGGGGCTCCTTTTCAATTGCCAGCCTTGCATTGGCTTCAATCAATTTGAAGGCTTTGCAGGTATCAGCCCTCGCCGCAAGATCCGAGGGAGCCCTTGACATTTCGGAGCGGGTGTTTTCGAGATGTCAGCAGTGTTTGATCGTAAATGAATTGACGAACTCCTTCGTCTTGCATGCCTAGTAGTTCATCTGTTGAATGAAGTCTTGAAGCTGTTTCATGACTTCAAAGAACACATTGCTTGGATTTTGGGCATATCCATGGGTTGGCGTAAAATGCAAAGAGCATGCCAAACGCAAATGCTGCCCAGCTTTTTGAATCCGGAAGCCTTCAGCCCAAGGACTTCAAGGAGTTTAAGCTGTCAGCAAGACCGTGACCAACCCGAAGCTTTGGAAGCTTCTATTTTTACTACTAGTACCAGTACTAACTTTCCTTATTCTCATTATTGTTGCTGTTCTTATTGTTAATACGTTTATTACTCCTTGTTTTCTTAAAGCAGCACAGGTACCTTCGAACCAACATGAAACTCCCTTCAAGCGGCCTGTGTAGGGGTTGCATGTCAGTTTGGCGGGTGATGTCTGGTAATGGCAGTCCCAGGACCTGTTGAACAGAGACATTGGGTTTCGGGGCTTGTATTGTTGCAGGGCACCCTGAAACCTTGCCGGCTTAGGTTTAAATCTACCTGCATCCCTAATTGCCTGTGCTTCAGTGTTTAGGGTTTAGGGAACTGTCTAAGGGTAATTGCTGCTTACTGAGCAGCAGGTAACTCGGGTTACAGGTAAACCCTGAACCCCAATCATGTTTAGGACTTGGAAAATGGATTTCAATACCCCCAAAGTCTTTGAGGCCCTTTCATTTTACATTGTGTAGGTTTAGGCTTTGTAGGTTTCAGCCTGGAACCCTTCGGAACAGGACGCTGTATAAACAGTATATACATGTATATATATATATATATGTGTGTGGGGATCCCTTTTTGGAAGCTCCCATATTTGTTACAGGCTTACTTTGGTGGAGCGCCGTTTAATTCTCACTCATGCCAGCACGGATCAATCCTGCCCATCTTCTTCACTCGGTCCTTACTGAGGTAGATATTTTCCGACCATGAAAGAAGCAACTGCACCCCCGTGTGGCGCACACGCAAATTTGTGTCGAGAATGGCAGAATGTAGATTGATAATTTCGGGCGAGAGGCAGCTATGTTGGACAATGTGTTCTTGTGTTTGCTCGGATAGATGTGGAGGCTGACCAACAAAAAATGTCAATTTCGGGTGGCCCCCATAATGAGGACCGTGCCATTTCAGAGGAAGATTGCCAAATTGTTGAGGTCCAAACCGGCAACGATTAAGCTAAACCCAATGTTAGAATTTGCCTGGCTACAAAATATGTTTTGCTTGCGGAACCGCCTTCTCACATGTTCAAAATGTCATTCGTGTCAGATGGGCCTGGTGTTCTGTGACAGTTGATAGTGGCGTCAATAGTTTGCGCAGCCAAATTTTGCTGCAGAATACCCCAAGAGCGGTAATCGGGTATGTAGCTGCTAAAGCACCGAATCTCATTTTAGATTCACTGCTTCATTGCTACGTCCCAGTCAGGTTTGCGCAGTGCAATGTATGCGCTACATCTCCGGATACACCGTTGGCGCGTACAAACAGATTCTGTATACCATCCTGGAAGCCCCTCCTCGTTGAGTAACACCGCCGGTGGAACCGCAGGCACGTGAAGCCGGACGTGATGTCGAAGACTTTACATACTCTCTATGCCATACCCCGTTCTGAAGCCTTCCACCCCAGATGTTTTTCTTAGCCCGTATGTATGTTGGCAGGTCCCTGGAGAGATCGAAAATTCCCAGCCCGTAAAACTTTAACCCCGATTTGCGACACCGCCTGCATTTTGTCAGGGCATTCTCACACCGCAAGCTTCCAAACTCCTGTGTGGCATCTTCGGTTCTTATGCTTGATGTCTCGGATACATAGGGTTTAGGGCTAGACTAGCGGTCCTTTGTTGGGTTGGTTTGGATGATTCTTCGTGTTCGGGGACCCTACTTTTAACAAATCGCATGCTATTTGGCCGCACATTCATTGTGCGACCCCTACAAATTTCTCTGACATGTTGTGACTGGTGTGTGTGTGGGGTTTTAAAATCCGTCGCGCATGTGTGGTGTTTACACAACTCATGCTGTGTTGCAAGCTATGTATTAGTTCCCAAGCTTGCGGCTCTGCGCATGATGTCTTAACGTAAAGCCTACTTCTAATAGTGGGTGCAGATGATTTTCCAATTGCGCTGCTGTTCCGCAGGGTGATGTTCACTGACTTGTCGCCTCTTGACCGGTGGAACTCGTGCATGAATTAAACCCTGTCGGCCTTGTCGTCTACATGCTACGTACATGTAAAATGCTGATGAGGGTGCCAGCAAAGGATGTGCATGAGCAGCTTATGTAGCTTACATGGCGTTCGAACTGTCGCCCTTTTGTTTTTGGACGGCACAGGAATGACATTTTTATCCACACCAGCAAGAGTCCCTTTCTCATTGCGCAGTGCATTGCGGAAGAAGTTTGTTGAGGGGTCGTTTTTGCCACGGAAGGTGGCCACAAATTGCAGAGATACAAACAGCAAACGTCCGGCGCATGATCGGAGACGCAGCCTAGACATACTTGCAACATGCGCCATGTTGAACTTTGAGTCAGGAAGCCTTCAGAAAAGCATGCCAGAGACTTTCCGTTTTTCGAGAAATCTTATCTGCAGCGCAGTTTATGGGACCAAGCCTAGCTTTGGGTTGCTTCCAACTTTCACGCCATGATGCCACATTACTCTTTGCGCAAATAACCACCAGATGCCCAACAACAGCTTTGCTTATGAGGAACGAAATCGTTGAACAAAGCCCCTAACTGTATCTGTCAGATTCTGGGCATCTCCGTGACACAGCTGCAATGTTGTTCGCGGTGTCTGGAAATTTGGAACCCTGAGAGGCTGCGAGGGTATATGAGGGCTGCAAGGGGACGGAAAGGGTCCACCTTCAGAATTGTGAGGGTTTATTTAAGGGATGCTGGGACAAGGGCTCAGGGATGGGAGGTGTCAATGGTTTAGGGGTTGGAGGGTTCACAGGTTGTGGGCACAGAGTTGTGGGGATACCGACCTTTGTTGTTATTGAACATATTTGGACAATAAGTTAGTTGAGTAGGCTCCAACACGTCATGAGAGGTTGCATCTGAATCGTGTTATAGTTGACAACCATCATTCATATGGGAAGTTCACCACAATCGGGTCCCTGCGGCTTTGTGGTCCTCGTTTCTGGAGTTTCGTTGCTGGGACCGTTCAAGTACAAAACAGAGGAACATGAACCGTTCAACAAGAACTTTGGCCGGTGGCTTGTGGACACCGAAATCTCCCATGCCGTAGGCCCAAATTCCTGCTGTGGGTCTTGATCCCCGTGTCCTCATAAGCCTCAATGCCCTACACCCCAGGAAGCGCTAAAGTCCCTGGCCACTCGGAAACAGTCGTTGGGCGTGCTAGCGCTGTCGGCAGTGCGCTCAGACATGGTTGTCTAAGGCTTTAAGACCTTCAGGGCTTTTGTTCATACGTCCCTTGAAGTTTAGGTTTTGTTTAGCGTT